GGGGAACAAATAAATCACAAATGGGTTGGGGGTACACAATATGTAAGTTATACTTTAAAAATGCAGATCAATACAAAACAATTTTGGAAAATTATTTATCAAGTAACAAAATGAGGGTGGTTAAGTTTTCAGAGCAAACCATACTGATTTCAATGTCAAAAATTGTGTCACCTTCAATCCGCTCAATGAAGGTGAGATTTCTTCCGGCTGATGGAGTTAAAAATATCAACTGGTCCACATCATTACTTCTGTTCCCATACAATTTGAGTGCTGTTTAATTAAAAAGGACAAGGAAGTGTTAGGATAAGCAGAAAAGCAGTTTCATTAACAGAACTTGCTATCACACTTTTGAGATGTCATACAAATACAATTTGGCTTACTGTTAAAAGGGTTTCAGGAAATTCCTTGTTAACTATGTTTATGTTTAACCAACCTTCTTGGCCATCTTTGGATGTTGTTTCCGCAATCCAGAAGAGCCAACCTTCCTGGCATTGCCCAAGTACCCTCTGAAAAACCCTTGACAAAATGATAACATCTGAGTTAGTTTTAAAAAGTGTGCATATACAGTAAAATTTAAAATTTATTATTATATAAGTTGGTCGTTCCGTCGGTTGATCGGTCGATCCTTCTTTCCTTCCTTGGGTCGTAAACTTTTGTTTGTATTTCCGCTGACGAAGAGAAAAATGTGGTCGAATGAAATGTGTTTAATAACATGATGCATGCAATGCATGAATGTCGAGCAAAATAATAAATTATTATAAATGGAAAGCACTTATTAACTTCTTGGGGGAAAAAGAAAGAAATATCACATCAGAGGGAAAAGAAAAAGAAAAAAAAAATTTGTGCGTTTGCACGCCCGAGTCCTGAGGTTTAAATACATGTAAGGGACAAATGTAAAAAAAAAATTTTTTTTGCAACAAAGCCAAAACATTTTCATCTTTCTGCATATACTCATGCATGTACTTCATCGTGCAAAATAGTCATAGCCTAAAGGCCTTTGATTTCTTTGTGCAATTATTTACTGATCCTAAATTCAGTGCTGAGCATGGCCAAAGAAAATTTTTTGTTCAGGAAATTTTTCATGAATTTATATTGATGCACACCTTTACATAATATTGATTATTGCTCCAGAATTCACACCTTCATGCAGTAACAAAAAGGAAAGACAGTTTAATGTTGTCTTATGTTTTATTAGTACTCAGAAAAAAGTCCAGATAATGGACTTCAGACTTGTAACGGATACCTTGTAGATTTTATTTTTTCAGAATTTTTCTTTACTCCTTCCTCCAAAAAAAATCTGTTTTTTTTTCCATGGGAAATGGTGGACAAATCATAATGTTGATTTCTTTTGAAATTACATTAAGCTGTATTATTTTGCAATCAAATATCTGGTTGAATTAACAACAAACAGTACAATAATACTATACAATGTACATCCAAACCTCAACGTTGCCTCATTCAATTTCCCATGCAAAGTTGTATTGGGGCGCAGTAATAGTGCCACTACAGGTTTTTTATCCTCACGAGCCTGCCAGCATAGCTACATGTATTTGTAAATCCAGAACAAGAACAAGTTTAACTATGCAATAATCACAATTTTAAATTGGGGGCTCACGGTTTCAACATTAAAACCCCCACATAAATCGCCCACTTTCTAGCACAGGATTTTAGTCATTTCCCGCACGTATTTCTTGTAGGTGTTTTGTTGTTCACACCCTAATTGGAACGTTATTTGTACTACAAAGCTCTAGTATAAAATAAGTTCCATTTATGTATCTTGTAGTTTTATCCTGATGAAGTCTCAGTAGCATACGAAGCCGGTCGATTAATAAACTCAGTTATACAAGGCAAGTTGCTGTGTGCTGCTCTTAAGTTTTTTTATTTAAAAAAGAAAGCAAATAGATTAATTAAAGATTGACTGACCGACTGACAGATTGACTATAACAGCAACAATATACATGTATCTTTATTGCTTCTAATTCTCCAAAGGGAGACGTTGGTCTGATTGAATGAATGAATGAATGAA